GGCTATTATGTAAAAAGCTTTTGCTACTTCACAGATGACAAAAACCCACCATGACATTTTCCTGACAGGACATTTTCCTACCAGTGCTTGTCAGCATGCCTTATATTTATGTCTCTGATGATAAGTGAAACTGTTTTTGACTGGTCGTACGATGTTAACAGTTGCATGTGTTTAAATCTTCCTTCCTGGTAAGTTTAAATTTGCTAAACTTTAAAGCATAGCAAAACAGACAGGCAATTTCTGCACCCCATATGTAGTTTTTCCTTTCTAAGGAGAGAAAGTGCTTTTCAGCACTGGAACATTTCTATTGCCTACATATCCTCACCAGATCTAGAACGTAACAGAGGGAAAAATGAGAATCGGATGGCTACAGTAACCTAAAAAAATCAAGGATGAAACAGAAGCGGCCTTGGGCTGAAGAGCACAGCTTTCTTACGTTGTGACCCAGGCTTCTTCATGAAGCCAACGGAGTTCGTTCAAGGAAGATTTTGAACATTTAGCTGGATCTGTTTACCTATTGCTCCTGAAGACAATTTTATATACCTTCTCAAAAAAACATTGAATATGTTACCAATCTGCAGCTTTTGTCCTACAAAAAAGTTTTTCTTGCTTCTTGCGCTAAAAGCGGAAAAGGTCAATTCTTTGCGGAGCACTCTAAAATATCATTTCCTAGAATACTAGAAATGCTGATTTTTTCAGACAGATCTACCAGAAAATATTTGCTATTGGATCCTCCTGCTAGCAATAACTCCAGTTTGCCTTGCCCATAATGAAGTTCAATATATTTATTTTGCCAGGAAATACACGTTTGTCTAACCAGAAATTTACCGCCACACACTGATATTGTGAACGATCAATAACCTTTATCATGCCAATGACTCAATCCCAGATGCTTATCCTATCAGGAATTCATTCCTCTAAACTACTGTTTTCTACAAATCTATAATTAACCTAAAAGCCATAAAGCTTTTTTGTACTGCCAGTATTTGTAGAGTACAGCTCCTTTCATATTTACTTTGGTGGAAACAGCGAAAACTGGAAGAAAACAGGTCTAATGATATAAACATGTCACAGATAAGCTAGAAATGCAATCTAAGTATGGTACAACTACGAGAACCTTTTTCCTCGTAGCCAGGTCCATCAATGCCTTTCCTAGCAAGAACAATATTTCTGATGATATCTGCCAAAAATTTTTGTAATTTGCAAATTCATATGGCCTTTCAAATAAAACTGACACAAAAAATGTTTTGTAAAATGCTAACAGTGCTATTCAATACTGTAGGATATATTTGAAAATTCTGAAAATGTTTCCTTTGAGTTCATGCCATGAAGAGTTCTGGTTTATACAGATTGTCTACATATGCAAACACATAAACACCCACATGTAATGATTTTACATAATCTCAGATTTCAATTGAAACTTTTCATAGAAATAAATCCTCAATATTGACAGTAACAATACTCAAACTGCTCATAACAAAAAAACTTCACATAAATTGCTGAGATATATCAGTATTTTAAGCAAGAAATCACATTTTACTCTGAAGCTATTTACTAAATTCAGATGACCGCCCAGCCTAATTTATATAACCTACCATGCTTAAGTAGCCAATATACATTCTTCCAGTTTCCATAAACATCTAAATTGGTGATTCTTTTCACCAAACTAACTAGATCAGTACAGATATCCCTACACTTGTTCCTGTTATAAGCTTCTATTATTTTTTTTTATTCTGAAACAATTTTCTTCTCACATTCCATCATTAGAGCTCATTTGATTGCTATCTCACCCTTCATCATTATCACTTCATTCGTGACTGTACTATGTGTCTGTTTTCTCATCTATTCTCACACCTTTCGTGGATGAAGTTCATGGATTTATCCTCGCTGTGCAATCCATTAACTCATCACATTAAGTACAGGGTACTACTGCAGTTGTAGCTGGAGAAGAATATTATGTCACTACCTGGGGAAACGACTACGGATGCCTCTTTAGCTTTAATTTGTAGAAACTTTTTATGCAATAGTCTAAAGCAACGACATTGTACAGCACTCTCCTTGCAGAGCAATCCTCTTTGAAAAGGGCGCTGTGGGATTTCTGGGTTTGGTGGGGATGCTTTTTGGTTTGGTTTTTGGGGTTGGGTTGGGTTTTGGTTTTTGTTTTTTTGTTTTATTGGGGTTTTTTTCCACATTCCAAAGATGCGCCAATCATGAGAAAAACTTTTTATAATGATTCTGCTGAGGAATTTTAGAAAAGAATGGATTTAAAACAAATTCCATCTACAGTTTTATGAATTCAAGCCAGATTCAGAGTCTAAAACTGAACCTGATTTATTTCTTATACTGACTGAGCAACTACCAAGAATCACCAAGAACCCTCCAGCTCCCAGGCCCCGTACCATGAAACCTGGTGTCCTTTTGGAAATAACACGCTAGAACTGCAATCAAATCAAACTCTGGCTGAAGTCTGAAATTTTACATTCGGCTTGAAAAAGTATTTTTGCTCTTGTTTGAATTTTGAGCTCAATCAGTTTTATATTTCAAATCTGTGTTTCTTGCCAGGCCAAATGTTTACGTTCAATTTGTGGCAGAGGAAAACTATGTGATTTAAATCACTAGAAAGATGTGGGGATGAATTCCCGGGAAGCCAAACAGATATACTTAGCAGTGCAATTACTAACTCAGTTATACCAAACTGAATTTGTCACAGAAGAAAACTATGATTTCTAGCACAACAAGCAAAGCTCAACTCCATCCTCACAAACCAGTACACAAATATATGTTTTTAAAAACACTTTTATGCTCAATAATACAATAAAGCAAGCAGTTTATATTAAATAATAATATACTGACCTAGACAATTCAGGAAAGAAGGTGCCTAGAGGTGAGCAAGCATTTAAGTGCTGCCCTGCATATTGACAAACTACTGTATAGGCTTAAGTGATTTTCTAAGATCATGGAAATCTAGCCTCGAATTGCAGTTTGAACCAGTACAAGATTGTATTGTTTCTAAGAAGAAAAATACTGATGCTTGTAAAACAGAAGATCTGCAAATTCATATAGTATCTCATAAAATTTAATTTCAATGGAACAAATCTTGGGGTATGTATTTCCAATAAAATCGTCCTACAACATGAGTGTAAAATATTTGTTGGTCTGCACAAGCATAAATCTGATTCCTAACAGGCCAGTCCTGAATAAGGGAGGTAAGTTCATGCCTGACAACTTCTTGCAGAAACCCACACTAATTTGACCATTTCTCCAAAATTATTAATGCGATTGCTTTCAGAAGCGCTGTTCTGGAAGAATAAATTCAACATACGACACACAGGCTGGTTTCTTATGCCTACAATAGAGTGATTGCAATCCTTTTATATGTGTGCAAGCTAGCGATGCTACCGCTAACATGAATACCAGTAGCAGCAAAGCTTTGCAAACAGGGAGCTCTTGAGAGGCCTAGGTCAGCGCGGAGGTTAGCCACAGTTGCCAGTAACGGGATAGTTGCTTTAAGTAAATATACAAATACATTTACACCATCTCCAGTTACAATATAGCCATATCTTAGTTAACCAAACTCTCATAACTTGTTGAGGATCAAGTCATTTATAAAGAATCAAACATGTAAGTCAAGTTTTCCATACAATACTTTGTTGAAATCTGTATTCATAACTGTTCTTTCCCAATATTGCAGTTTTGTAACTCTTTGGAGAGAATATATGTACTTGGATTGAGGCTATCTTTGGCAGCTAGGTATTATTTCTCCCATGAATTATAGGTACTTTCAGACAACACCAGTATTATGAAGTAACTTGATTCAGAATATCTGCAGTAAAAACAAAAATGCTGTAACAGCTATGTAGCACAGCTATTCTAATTTTTGCATTAATTTACCTATCACAGAGGAGACAAATTTTTCAGCTTCAAAAAGCCGATTTTTTATTTTCTTGTAAAAAAAAAGAATTTCAATATTCAAAAAATTGGGGAAGGCTTTTCTAAGTGAGTGGTGAGGAATTAGGTTACTTTGTGTGCATATTTTTGCTTGGGTTTTTGTGGTTTTGGGTTTTTTTTTTAATAAGTACCAAAATTTTTAGCTGAGAAGTACTGGCCATACTGTAACGGATCAATTTAACCACTTCTTCAAGAGCAGGGAGTGCCTCCGCAACCCTGTTGCTGTTACCTTTAAGGGGGCAGGACTCTGGCTGCTTCTGTCGTGCACTCTGATTCCTAAAAATATTCTCCCTGCCCAAATTTGTGACAGAGGTAAAGGCAACAGATAAGCTACTTCTCTGTACAAAGTGTGTTAAACGTAGCATGTGGGTTTCCACGAGCAGCAGTCTGTCAGGGAACAATGCAGTAAATTCTGCTCATTTCCTTAGTCTTAGTCGTTAGCTTTTATCTCTAACCAAACATTTTTTCCTAACCTTAGCTCAACCATCATAAGCTCTCAAATATTTGTCCTAGACTTCTCTCCGTATCATGCAAAAGGCTAAAATAAGAAATTTAACTGTTGGCTTTTTTCTTACAATACACTAATTATCTTCAGTTTTTAAATGACTTGGTTCTTTACATGATTAAAAATTTTCTTCAGAAGATTGTTGCATTTGAATTCATTCATAGGCTTTGTAAGGACATGCAGAGATAGCCTACAACCTCAGTGCTGATTTTATACCAAGATGCACACAACATATGCAATGGCAGTAAATAATTAATCAGTCAACATTAGCAAGAAGAGTAGCTACTACTAAAGAAATATTTATCTATAGCTATCATGTGATGGTCTCCAGAATACCAGTCAGTCCACCCCACGAGAAAAGCCATTTTACTCCAAAAAAATATTTCCTAAATTTCTGATATTACAGTATGGTTAAAAATAGGTAAAAAGTGGGTTGTCACTACAAGCCTTTGAAAACAAAGCATTTGCTTGTCTGCTGACATCACGATATTGTTTTATACTAAGTAAGCAGAAAGTAATAACCAAAATTAGAAGAAAAACAATTTACCTTGCGTGGACTGTTCAATGGTTTTTCTTTTTCTGCTATGACTGTTATAATTAAGTCTTAGCTCTTGACTATAGTCATTCAGAGTTTCTCTTGAGTCATAAGATTGTCTTTGCTTTCCCCCATCTTCACTTTCATCTGAAGAACTTGTGTAAGTTAGATCTACTTCATGTTTAACTTTTGACAGTGGCTGATAGGGTTTGCAGTCCATCTGCTCCATCTCTCATTAAATAGGCTCAAAGTCATGAAAACAAGCAACTGGAACTCCTGAAGGAAATAGTCCTGGAAAAAAAACAAACCACACAATAATCCATTTCAGATATCATACATACCTTTAGCTCACAAAGGCTCAAATTTATTTTTAGTCAATATAAACCTATTAAATTGCATTAATATCACTATTATCCAGGAAAGAAGCTGAATATGTCTTATTTTACTGTTTTATTTTTAAAAATAGAATTAAAATAACAGTAACTTGAAGGAAAAAAAAAGCAAATCTTAAGCACAATCCCATTAGACCAAGCAGTAACTGTACCTTATGCACAAAATACGTTACAAAAGCTTATATTTGGTATTAAAGCTAAGATGGAACATCTACCATGCATATTCATCTTAAGTGAAAATAACATTTTGTGTTTTTCAAAATATGAAGCCAGAAACCAGAAAAGTTCACTCTTTTGAAGTATTGTGTGGTAAATTAAATTACATTTAATCAAGAACAAGAGACTTAACACTTTAGAAAACCACCAGACTTAGTAAAACCAAAAATACCCCACACTTACTCTACAAGACCATACGACGGTTCAGAAATGGACCGTTTCCTGTTAGATTGTGTGGACATTTCAACAGGAAGAAGCAGTAGAACGCCCTTTTCCCCCTGTACCTCCTGTCTAAACTCATGCCAACACAGGAGCTCTACCGATCCTCAATGAAACCTTCCAAACTGCAGCTTGCAGTTCTGTATATCATTAAAATGATGTTCAAATTCAACATCATTAAAATCAAGTGGGTTGCAGCTGCACGTGCAACTGGTGCACTTGTCCTGTAACCTTGCCTTCATGAAGCCATTTCCAGCACTAACTTTAAGGCAAACTCTGCGATGAAATAACAGGGTTATGGCACACCTTTTACAGCAACACAGCTCATGAACAGAGAGCTCTGTTAAAGTAAGTTTGGGTTTGTTTGTTGGGTTTGGTTTTTTTTAGATTAACAGATGCTATTAAGCTAGGAAAACGTAACAAAAAGGTGGCTGTAAATATTATTGCTAGAAGACCAAAAACATAGACCTTAAAAGAGATTTTGCTTAATTAAAAAGCAATTGCTCACAGCTTCTTAATGATTTCAAGGTCAGCAGAGAGAAGTAAGTTTAATATCCAGTTTGATAGTCCATTCCCCATCTGCAACAAGGATTTTTAACCCTGCACATTGCCAGCTGTGAGCGTACAATACGAATCTCCAAAAGCAACCACAGAAAAACTGAAAACACGCAAAAGGTAAACATAAAAAACCCCACAGAAAGCACTTCTTGTTAGAGGGCTATAGAGATGCGTTTAAGTTCTGACATCGTCTGAATTTTTGAGAAACAACTGCTGGTAGCTGTCACTGCCTTCCAGCATAGCAAAACGGCATCTCCTGCTTGTGTGTCCTCCCAACACTTTTGAAAGGACCACCTTCCTGAGCAAGAGTGGAAAACGCTGCACACGGTGTGAAGAAGGAATAAGGCTTCTAATATACTCATGGAAGAAGAAAATCCAGGCCCACAGAACGCTTGGAGGGATGGCAGGAAGGGAGACGACCACCACAGCAGAAGTAACACTGTGGAGTGCATGCTGTGCCTTCCCCAGGTTTCAGAACGCTATCTGGAGAAAGAGGTTAAAGACACATCTTTTTTGAAACACAAACTCTCAGGAGTTTCATCCAATCATTTAACCTGAGATGGAATAGCTCTTCAGAAACAAATAGCACCTGGATAAAAATATCTAGCATTAAATAAATAATAAAATAATAATTTAAAAAAAAAATGCAGGTCACATCTCCCACTCAAAGTGGGCTTGAAAGCATCCAAGTCAATAAAAAAAAACTCATCAAGAGAGAGAACTAAAAAGGCAAGGTAAGAGCTGCCAGCCTGCCAGAGACCAAGGCCAGCTGACACGTGTCTCGTGGGGCTTCAGCAATGAACACAAGTTTTTGTGCTCTGGACTGATCACACAGTATCAAGTTGGTGCTAAGATGCTTCTGTAGACAAGTTACTAACGAGCACTATTTGCTTCTCAAGAGCTTATTTGCCTAAATAATTTACTGTTACTTGCCAATATTGCATGTTACTGCCTAAGAAGTTCAGTACTTATTTTATGAGTTGCTTTAATAGTCTGATCTGCAACAGAACACCACAAAGGTGCTGTGACTTACAAGCACAAGGCTGGTTTAAAAGATTACCTGATGACTCTGTAGAAATGGTTACTGATGGGAAAAAACCTTCCTATATATCCTGTCTGACAGAACAAATGGAGACGATGCTACAGAAGCCAGAGGAAAATGAGGAGAAATTAAGGGACTCTACTAAGAAGATGCAGTAGACAAGAAATAAATTTTGCCATGAAGGCAACACATGCAAGTAGCCTCACACACATCCGGTGCATACTGCTTTCAAAAGCGCAAAACAATGAACCCGAGAAATTTAGCTCATTACTGGAAAAATTAGTAGTATATTTATGCACCTTGACTCACAGGAGAAAAAAAAAAATACACAAAAGTTCTTCCAAAAAGATAACCTTGCTGCATATCTATTATGTCAGAGGTTTCAATATCGACTTTTTTTTTTTAAACAAGTGACAAAAATTTATTAAAATGCACAGAGAACTGTAAAACTTAGGCTGCAGAAAACAACTACTTAACAAAGATTTATTTTCATCCTTTTAAAACAAAGTTTAATAACCAAAGTCTTCACTTTTTGTGAGAACAGGTTGTAGCAGAACTATATTTAATGATGTTAACCTAGGCAGCAGACAGACCAAATCATTTAATGTAAACGATATTAGCTTCATTACATAGTCCAGGTCTTCTCTTTCACTGTGTTACTTTCATATGTGCTATCTTTTCATGTGTAAGGATGGGCATCTTCTCAAATCTAGATTCATTTTATCAAAGCCATCTAAAACACAACAGCGCTAATGGCTCACATAAGGGCTGGAGATACAGCACCAGAGCGTCAAATGTCACGGTAAACTTTGACTTCCTATCACACATGGACTGAACTTGTGCTTCCTTTATTTTTGCTTAGGGCATTAATGTCTCATAAACCCAGAGCTACCTGGCCTGATATGAAAGCAGGTGATAAATCATTTGCAAGAACTGGAAAAATACTTCATAAAATTTTTCATAAAAAAATGCTTTTATGAACCAGGAAAACATGATAAAAAACACATCAAATCTTCAAGCTTTTCTACAGCAAGAGATTCAGTTCAATTTAACGAATGATGGTATGTTATGACTTGAATTTAAACACTAGCAATCAAATACTTTGTTTGGAAAAAGACAACACAATAAGCAACTCAAAATGCTGGAATAGGGCAGGAGTATAAAGAATATTGCCTGGATGTTTACATAGGTTTCTTCAAATAACTGGCCTTCAAGTAACTAAACAAAATCCCCAGCCGATCGATATCAAGTTGACCTTGTCAGCAAAATGATAAAGTCTCATAAAAGCTTACAGTTCCTGTAAGTGACCTTTGTGTAAGTGTCTTAATGCTCTCCTACTCACAAAGAACAGCACTTTTCTGACCTTTCCATCACTGTTCTCTCATTGAAAGGTTTCACAAAATATTTAACAAAAAATATGGTAAAATACATAAATATTATATGTTTATTATATATAAAACCATATAAATATATGAAATATGTATCTAGGTACTGAATAGTAATTCTCAACCATACTTTAAACTAGATACACAATTTACAGTTAGATTTGTAGAAGAACACACAATTAATCATTTAAATTCACAATGAAACGCTTGCAAATTCAAAAAAAAGTCAAAAAACTATTAGATGGGAAAACACAATGGAGCTAATATAGATACGTATAGGGGCTTATATGCTTATAATATGATTTATGCAACTTTCTAAATGCATGTTGTACATGGTATTAGAAACTACTTTCACATTTCACTTGCACCAAAACCTTCTTACATCAACCACCTAACTTTCACGTTCTGCTTAGATCAGAATCCTACTTGCTCTGAAGCACAATAACGTCAGCGTAACTGTGGCTGATGAGAACGCCTCTGACGAGGCTGTTTGCAGTGCACGTACAAATCAATAGGTATCTTCCAAGAAAACTCACTGTGTGTATTTACACTGCACAGAGGCTCTGTACTCAAATACAGTGATGTCACAGCGATCACATTCTTTAATAGCGCTTTGCATAAATTCTTATCAGGCTGCTCTGATAGGGTGCCCATTTAACGAGCAGATTTCCATAGTGATTACCCACCACCGACCCCATCAAATCGCCAGTGGTATACCCAGCTGGTTACCAGTAAGTCCAGACCTGTTTAAAGAGGTCAGGATATGGATGATAATGAGCATCACGTAGCATATATTCCAACCCTAAATTCAGAAGGTAGCCTCCTGTAATGCCATTTTTCATTCTCAGAGGGTCATTCAATCAGCTACAAACCCCAGCTCCACATTTGCCCAATTCTCTCCTGTATTTCTTTTCTTTCAACATATACCCTTATCTGAAAGCTACCATTTGCTTATTACCTTTTCAGACCACTGGTTTCTGAAAATGAACTACTAAGCAGGTATTTCAGCTCTGGATTGCTGAAGGCAAAAAGAATAGTACCTTTATTCTGCAAGTCTTTTCTGAAAAACAAACCTGCAAAATATGAAAGGCAAAACAAAGCAAACACTCTTGATTTAAACCTTTGAGAAATGCAATATCATAGAAAGAAAAAAAAAAGAAAAAATATTCTAACCTTGTACATACCTTCAAAACTGTTATCCCTCAAATATTTGTTAGATATTATAAACAAAGGAAGTCCTTACATCATCTTTGAAGTTCTCTGTTTTACAGAACAGTGATATGTAACGAGAAAGACTCAAGCTAAAACACTTGAGCAGGAGCAGAGCAGGAACAAATTATGTTTCTAGATGACGCATGGAATTAGATAGCACTATGAAGAAATACGGAAAGTATGCTTAAGTCTGCAGGGTGGGAGC